ATCTAGTGCTTGCTATGTACCAACCACTTCTAAGTACTTTTTCCAAATATTGAAACTTTGTAATAATTCTCTATGGTAGATGTTATTATCTCCATTCTACAGACACAGACTGAGGCAGAGAGTTTAAGCAAGTGGCCGGACGTCACAGCCAGTACGTGGCAAAACTCCTGCAGCCTGCTCTTAGAGTTCGCACTCCTTGTCCAGCTCCTGTCCAAATATTTATTATTACTTATGAGAAAACTCTGCAAATTGCAAAGCGCTCTACCACCAAAGATTAGCACCCTAGGGCAAAATGAGCCCTTTACTTCCTCGATGCTCCCCAGCGCTAAGTTCCCAGCGGAGGTTGCAGTGAACCCAGATCGCGCCACTGCACTCCAGCCTGGGTGACCGGGCGAGACTCTTGTCTCAAAAAAAAAAAAAGCGAGTGAGTGGAGCGTAATTACCCTCGCCAATAGCCTGTAACCACCGCGGCCGCCACTCCCCTTTTCCTGGCCTCACCCCTCTCCACCCACGACTCTGGCCCCGCCCCTCGTCCCAGGCTGCGACGGAAGAAGAGCCAACGCCTCACGGGCTTCCACGTACGCACTCCAACGCCTGTCCCCGGAGGAGAACACATCCGGGTCACGGGAGCCGGTGTTTCAGGCTCCGCCCCTTCCCCCCCCAAGGGCTAATCCCCACTTCCGACCCTCATAGTCCTTTTCCGCTTCTCTTTCACCTCTCCAGGTGCGCCCGTCTGCGCCCCTCATAGGAACCCGGAGGGTAGCTCTGATCCCGAATCTCCCACAGGCGCGAACCTGCTCTGCCGTGTATCTTTGCGGGGCGGCCTGCGCTGAGGCCTGCCGCGCGCGGTGAGTCCGCGCAGACCTGACCCTGCGTCTTGCAGCTCTGTTGAGGCCGCCTCCGACTTCTCGGGATGCCGCGGCCGGGGTCCGCGCAGCGCTGGGCGGCCGCCGCGGGCCGTTGGGGCTGCAGGCTGCTCGCACTGCTGCTGCTGGTGCCTGGACCCGGAGGCGCCTCTGAGATCACCTTCGAGCTTCCTGACAACGCCAAGCAGTGCTTCTACGAGGACATCGCTCAGGGCACCAAGTGCACCCTGGAGTTCCAGGTATCAGGGGCCTAGCAGTCCCTGGGCCCCAACTCGCGGCTCCAGGGTTGGGGGTGTAAGTTGAGGGATGGCACTTTCCTGTCCGTGTTTCCCTGTTCTTAGGCTAATTCAAAAATCGCTTCCAGGTAGCTGATGCCCAGCATTTGACTTTCCTCTAATAAACCTGGAGTGAGAGATGTTAAGACCGGATGTTAAAATGTATGAATTCCAGAAATGCTCCCTCTAGCATTTCTTTCCATTCTCATATTTAAGGCCTATTGAACGTCCTTCCTTAAAATATTCCCTTAAAGAAAATCATTTATATTCTATAGTACCCAGTGTCAACTCTCTAATCCACACTTCCAATTTAATTGAATTTGAAGTATTTTATTATACTACCTTCCAGAGACTGACTTTGACCTCAGAGAGCTTGTATAGACATATGTAGTCATAAATGTTAAATGCAACAATAAAGGTACACACTAGGTATAGTGCTGGCAGAAGACAGAAGGATCATTGGGAAATTTAGCTGAGGAGCTGATGTTAGAGCTGAGTCTGCAAGGTAAGTAGCCGTTGCTCTACAAGGCAGCAGAGGAGAGAAGGGGCCCTAGGCAGATATGTTCATGACAGTTCCAGCAGGCCTGAAATTAGCCTGAGCTATATTGCTAACATTTGTGCATGACATTGAAATACACTGAATAACAATAGTTTTGTGACTATAGTTACATATATTAATAGTCACAAAACTATATATTATTAGCTTTAATATAAAGCTATTATAATAGCTTTGTGACTGTGAGTCCAAGGGCTTTGGGGGCAGTTTGTACCAGTTTGTCAACATTATTTATCGGTAACAGTGAGATTGATGATTTGCTCCTGGTCTTGGTGAGACCACACCCCCAACACAGAGCTCTGTTGTTGAGACTAGCTCCATAGCAGGAATATGCCTATGTGACCAGCGAAATATTTAAAAATGTGGTCAAGACTCCATTTTGTGTTCCTTGGTTCCAGGGTGTTTTGTTTGCACACTTGGGTGGTTCCAGGTCTGAGAGAGTATGTGTCTGGCCACAGACCTAACAGAGGGAAGACAAAGGAGCCCACACCTGACCTTTTCAGACCTCTTGCTGTGAGACAGCCTTTGGCTGTGATGTTTTATATTCTTTTCCTTTTGGGACTCTTTTCAGTCCCAAGTTAAATTCTTAACCACTTTATTATACTACCTCCCAGAGACTGACTCTGACCTCAGAGAGCTTACATAGACATATATAGTCATATAACATTATAAACTGTAGATTTATGACATTATAACATACAGTAATAAACTGTAGATTTGCAAACACTGTCATTTTGAGCCCTGTGATTCTTCTTTAGCAAACCCTGTTGAACTTCACTGTCAGTGCAGATGTAAAGCAAAGACTTGTTCAGAGAATTTCTGGTAGTCTGGCATTTTGGGAACATAGAACGAGTAAGGCTGTGAATAAAAGAGGTTCTGAAGCTACCTGGGAGGAAGAACAGTGAATAGTATACCATTGTTAACGGGTTTCGATTTTTCTGCAGGCCACAGGTAATTATCAAAAAGTTTTTAAGTGATTGCTCAATGGGGAATGAGGAAGGATGAGGAGACTGGCACCCCTCCTTCCCAGGAGACATTTGGCATCATGTTAGAAGGGCAGCTACCTGCATCTAGTAGGTAGAGACCAGGTATGCTGCTTAACGTGCTGTAGTGCACAGGACAGTACAGGGTCCTACAACACAGAATTATTCAGCTCAAAATGGGAATAATGCCAAGGTTGAGAAACCCTGAGTTAGAGGGAGAAGATATTGGGTAGTGGGAAGACCTTTTAGGAAGTTGTGGCAATAGTCGTGTCTGGATTGTGCTTTAGGAATGCGATGAATTTGAGAGGGGCAAAAAGATTGAGAGATTTGTGTGATCGTATGGATAGATAGGGATACTTAGTTTGGGATGATCCTCAGTTTCAATAGTAGGTGATTGGATAGATTTAAAGGGATACTTAACAAGATTACTTGTTTTAAGTTTGATGGAAGAGAAGTGGGGTGATGATAAGTTCTGGTCCTATTCAGTTTGTATGTATGTGTTTGATTATTCAAAATACAATGGTCAGGTATGAATAATTCAGTAGAGCAAAATGAGGTGATTATTTTCACCTGGAGAAAAAGTTACTTTTTGGTGAGGATGGGGATTGGTAAATCCCCAATTGATAAGACATTTTTATATCAAAACATTTTATCTGTATATTAACATTTACATATTTTTACAGTTTCCTAAGTGCATAATTATTTTCATTTGATTATCAAAATGATCTGTAACATAGTTCAGTTAGTATCTTCTCTCTTAAGTGAGAAAAGGTCACACAGGTCACAGATCCTTCTTTTAAATCCACAGTCTGAACTCTGTTCTACTGACCTAGAATGTCAGTATGCTAACCAAGAGGGTTCAAGGTTGAAAATAACAGTCTTGTGCTACCCAATCACATGGTGGTTTGGGAACCCTTCATTCAACCCAATGTCTCTTCCTAATCATCTCTTTCACAAGTGTATACGTTTCCTCTGTTTCTTCACCTCTCTCCACTCCCTCTTTCTTCCTACTCAGTTCTTTCTCATGTAAGGAAGCCTTTCTCTTTAATCCTTTCCCCCTTTTGTCTCTTAAAATACTTATCCAGTTACCGCAGGAAAAATCTCTCCCTCCTCTGTTCGTACAACCCAAATGGCTGGAAGTGTAACTGATTAAGCATAAGCCCTTGAAAGTAGTTCTACAGTTCTGTTCAGAACTACCTCCAGCCTTCCATTCAGTATGTTTGCCCTTAAGTACTGGCTTTCTAAATAAACAGACTTGTTGTCCTTTATGTTACTCATTTTTGCTTTAATCACAAGTGGTTCAGCAATATTTTGTTTAATCAGTTATGTGTCTCCTGAAAACAAGGTTGTAAATGATTATATACTTTTAGAATAGCCCACTCCATTACTCAACTTGTGTAGTTCAAAACAAAATATATATCAAATTCCATATAACTGACTATAAAAGAACTTAATAAACACAATCCGCTTGTAATTTGGCAGTAAAATGAACTTAAGTTCTATGATAGAAGTATGAATGGGGTGTAATCCTAAGGACTGGCCTACCTTATTACTTCACTGTGTGTGTGCTTGGATGATGCTAATAGGAAAGTGGGTGAGAAAATTTTCAGAAGGAAAATATTGCAGACACTAAGCTTAGAGGTTAAGAATATGACTTTGGAGTTCAAGTTCTGGCTTTCCCACTTAACTGGATGAATACTCTTAAATGGGTCGCATATTTAACATCAGTTTTTCAGTCTGTCAAGTGGAAGGAAAAAAGTCTCTTGTAGGGTTGCTGGGAGAATTAAGTGATCTAATAGATCTACATTAATTAGCACAGTTGTCTGGCTAGTTCAAAGTGAATAAAAGTTGGAGGAAACTTGTTCAGTTTCTGTAAAGTTTAGTTGAAGTAAAATCTCCTCCCAACTTCCATCCACTGGTGAAAATTTAAAAATGTAAAATTGTCTGTGATAGTAAAAGTCCTTTGCCCATTACCTTATTGCCATTTTATTAGGAAATCTGATTAAATCTGATAAATTTTTCAAACTTTTCACAGTAATTTTTTTTTTAATCTCTTACAGGTGATTACTGGTGGTCACTATGATGTAGATTGTCGATTAGAAGATCCTGATGGTAAAGTGTTATACAAAGAGATGAAGAAACAGTATGATAGTTTTACCTTCACAGCCTCCAAAAATGGGACATACAAATTTTGCTTCAGCAATGAATTTTCTACTTTCACACATAAAACTGTATATTTTGACTTTCAAGTTGGAGAAGACCCACCTTTGTTTCCTAGTGAGAACCGAGTCAGTGCTCTTACCCAGGTAAATAAAAAAAATCAGCAATATAATGTTGGTATATTTAAAAGGAGGAAAAAAGCATAATTTAATATCATGCACTAACTGATGAGCATGGAGTTTCGAGACTAACAATCTTTAAAATCTATCTTAATTCTTACATAGTAGGCATTTCACAGAGAACTTCAAACTTTTATAGTGAAAAATAATGTTGAAAGATTTTATGAACTTTTAAGTGTAAAGAGAAAGAAGCATCAAAATGGGAGGAAGATCACTAAGGTAGAAACATCAGTGGTAAAAGAAGTTTGGGAAGGCTGAGCAGTGTTCCAATCTTCTGAAGCATTTTCTTTAATCCCTAAAGGAATGTTGCTGTCATACTCAGGCTGGTATAACTGGAAGCAAAATGATGCCTACATTAGTAGAGAAATAATACCACATGATAGCCTTTATACCATTACTTAGTGTTACTCAAGCTGCTGTAACAGTAACTTGTGCTGTAACTTTAGGTGAAATATTGAAGATTAATGGTAAGTCATCTCACAAAAATAGTTACAAAAGCTAAATTTGGATTTATTTTGGAGAAATAGAGAAAGCGTAAAAAATTCAAACCCAGTGAACAGCTATTGCTTAGGTGATGAGGACTGCTCTCTATTTCTAGTTCAAATACAGCAAAATCCAAAATGCTTCAAAATCCAAAGCTTTTTTTTTTTAGCTCCAACCTGATGCCACAAGTGGAATATTGTACATCTGATTTCATGACACATCATTGAACATATCATATACAGTTGCCTTAAGGCTACATGTATAAGGCGTATATGAAACATAAATGAATTTCATGTCTAGACCTGGGTTCCATCACAAAGATATCTCATTATGTGTACGTAGATATTCCAAAATCTGAAATTCCAAACAATTCTGGTCCCAAACATTTTGGATAAGGGATACTCAACCTGTATGGGCTTAGATCATATCTAAAAGTTACTCAATTAGGCATGAAAAAGAATTATTTACCACTTATTTGTTAAAAATCTTAAACTGATATTTTAGCGTTCCCAATTTCTGTTTAGTCTCTTGGCCAAAGTCATGGTGAAAGAGACAGCTTTAAGAATGTGTAAAAGTCTTAATTCATAAACCTGTTGTAAGAATTAGCAAGATAAATTCAAATACTCTTAATTTTAGAAATGTTCTCTTTATTTTAAGGTCCTGTGTGAAAGACACTTTGCTTTGTAAAATGATATTTCTTTGGGGCCATTACCTTAACCTGTGTCCATTGCTTCATGAATTTTAACTTGTATAAGGTGGCTTGTTCTAAAAACCTAAGTGGGTAAATACAAGAAATGAATGGTAATAAAGCAGTTAGTATCATACCCTTCTTTATCCATGCTACATTTTTTATTTTTCTTAGTCTTATTTTTCTACTTTCAAAAAGATAATGTCTCATATAATAGGGATAGTTATAAAGCAACTTTTCATACTTTAAAATGGAAAATTACCAGCTAGTAATGCAGAATAAATGATAAGAGTTTTACTCTCACCATTTTTTGCCCACTGATAAAATGATGGATTTAGAGTAGGCAATGATCACCAGTCTCTACCAAAACCATTAAGTAAAAGGCTGGTGGGGAACTTAATACTGAGTGGATCAGAGTGAATGATCTTTCACAAATGGAGAGACAACTAGACATTATGTGCCTTATGAATAATTTGCAGTAAGAAGTACACAACACTGACTACTAGGCGTTCCCACCCAGAACATTGCACCTGAATCCCATCAAGTCTCTAGCTCTAAATGCCAGTTTACAAGAAATACAGAGGATAAAGGAATAGCATGGGAATGCAATCAGCAAAATCCAGTAAGTGGGAAATGCCACAGAATAGGGGTAGATGGCAAGGAAAAAAGAAAAAAACAAGGACAAAAGCCTAAAGATTAACGAAGACTTGTATCAGCCAAATGATTGTGTTAACCTTACTTGGATTCTCATTTGAAAACCAGTTTTGAAACAGTAGGGGAAATTTGAACACTATTTCCTGACTTTAAGGAACTGTTTTAAATTATTTCATGTGTTACAATACTATTGGGGTTATGTTTTTAAAAAGTGTTACCTTTTAGAAATAAAGTATAAAAGTATTTGTAGCTGAAGTGATAAAATATCTGAGATTTGCTTTAAAAATAATCGGGGAAAATACATGGGGAATGTAGATGAAGCAAGATTAGCCATATGTTAATCTTTATTGACATCATGGAGGTTCATTATACTTTTCTCAATACTTTTGAATATGTATGGAAGTTTTGACTGTAAAAGTTTTTTAAAAATCACATCTCAGGCCAGGCGCGGTGGCTCACGCCTGTAATCCCAGCACTTTGGGAGGCCGAGGCGGGCGGATCATGAAGTCAGTAGTTCGAGACCAGCCTGACCAACATGGTGAAACCCTGTTTGTAATAAAAATACAAAAATTAGTTGGGTGTGGTGGAGTGTGCCTCTAATCCCAGCTACTCAGGAGGCTGAGGCAGGAGAATTGCTTGAACCTGGGAGGTGGAAGTTGCAGTGAGCCAAGCAAATTTTTCATTCCTAGGGGCCCAAAGCAAGGACAACAAAACATTTGACTCTTCTAATAGGCGAATGCAGTTTGTTGGCCTCATAATTTCTTACATTTTTTTAAAAGCACTTTTGATAGAATATTTTAATAATTATTCCTTTCATACTTACTTTGGCAGAACTTTATTAAACGTTATTTTCTAATGTCTATATTCCTTAACTAAAATTAAACTTAGATTTGTTTTTAAATACAGGTTTGTTGCATAAAATAATAATAAAACATATATTTTACCACTAGGATTAAGTTTGCAGCAGTAGAAAAATATTAAACCCTGGTATACAAAAAAACTAGTCACTTAACCTTTCTCAAAACAGACGGTATAATAAATGTATAAAAAGGCAAGCTGTTATCAGCTAAAAGCTCACAAAGTGATTACACAGTGAAACTGAAACTTGCATCCTGTTGGGAACATACATTGGTTTAGTTGACTGGCATGAAGGAAAAGGCTGATTTAACAAATAGATAAATGTTAAAAAAAAAAAAAAAAAAGTCATTCCTATTCTTACATATCCCTTTCAGATTTAAAAGTTACCTAACGATTTTGATGTAGCTGTTTTAAATATAGTTGAAGTAACTGACTAATTCGGCCTTTTTTTTTTTGTACTGTGCTTTATTTTTATAGATATTTGGGCTTTGATTTATATTCTCATTATTGATGAGCTCACTGCCATTGTCTTCCTCCTAATTCTTGTTTAAAGAACTTGGGCTAGAAATTCTGTAGTCACCAACCTTAGCTGATAAGTATTTCTGCTGTTGTTAGCTTAGTGTTCCATCTGCCCCCTTACTGATGCCATGGCTGTGATATCTCAGTTCGGGAAAACAGCTGCTTCATGAGATCTCTGGCCTTAACAGTTGTCCTAGTGAAAATGAGCAGGGGGGTTTCATTGCAAGGACAACTGGCATAAATGTATGAATGAATGCCAGGTTAGTAGCACGTTAGTCAAAAGAGGAATTGAGATCAAATTGAAAGAAAAGCTGAATATGATAGATGAAGTCTACAGAAAGTATCACACATACTGACTGAAAATATTTCTCTGCAGATGGAATCTGCCTGTGTTTCAATTCACGAAGCTCTGAAGTCTGTCATCGATTATCAGACTCATTTCCGATTAAGAGAAGCTCAAGGCCGAAGCCGAGCAGAGGATCTAAATACAAGAGTGGCCTATTGGTCAGTAGGAGAAGCCCTCATTCTTCTGGTGGTTAGCATAGGGCAGGTATTTCTTTTGAAAAGTTTTTTCTCAGATAAAAGAACCACCACAACTCGTGTTGGATCATAACTACGTTTTGAGAATTGATGCACCATTGCCACTGTAATATTGCTGTCCTCTAATTAATTTTAGGTACTGAAGAACTTAATATTGGCAACATTTTTAAAACCTTACTCATACACTTGTTGGGAGGGATGTACAATGCATATCCCCAAACTGTGGAAAGGACACCTTTTTTTATTTGTAAAGGTGGAAAAACTTTGGAACTCATTTTGGGCTATTCATGTTAAATATTCAACACCAATGATCTACTCTGTTCTGGGTTGTTTCTATCTACTCTTCGCACACTAAACCTTGGTATTTTGATTCCTTTTAACCATTTAAAACTACTTTCTTATAGGTAGTTGATATTTTAAAAACCTTAGATTTAATGTCTACATATGTTAAAGAGGAAGAAAATTGCCTTTCAATTGTTAATAAGAAAACCAAATGTGATGAACTGTAGCCCAAGCCCTATTCTGCACTGTTCAATTTTATGGAGGAAAAAAAAGTCTACCATAGGAATGTTAGTTAATATTGATACATCATGGTAAAATTTATTTCTCACTAGGTTAGAAAATGTCAGACTTTTGTTTTTGGGGTTTATGATTTATAACCAGCTATGCTATTTTTTCATAAAGGCATTTGTAGCACACACAAAACATATGCTTCAGTAGCATAAAAGAGTTTATACAGGCCTTAAATATCAGACTGTTTGTAACAGGTAGAAATATTACAGAATAATTTAAGACACTACAATGGGGGCAAATGAAATAGGAAAATTTTTAGTGAGTTAGCTGTACTCATTACATTTTCAGTGCTTTTACAAAGAAAAAAGGTGATATGTTTAATTTTAACATTTTAATTGGCTGACTCTTGCCCTTACATGACTTTAATGTCTTTGTGAGTCATTCCCAGCTTAAATTAACAATTGTTAGTATTAGTATCACATAAGTGCCGTACATTTTATCCTCATGGGTGTGATGCACTGAAAAGTTAGTTGCTTTCCTTTTCTCTTTTTTCTTTTTTTCTTTTTTTTTTTGTCTTGCTTATTTTATTTCTGTAGTTTCTGGTTAGCTACCCTAAAGTGATTAAAAAATTTAGAATGCTATGTGTTTCCTATTTGGTAATCTTCATTGACTGTTCTTTATTTAATGAGTATTAAATACTGCATATTCTATAGACTATAGGGTTTACATTGTGTTTGCACCTCATAACTTGTATAGATTGAGCTGATTGAAATAAGATTTTGTTCCAAGTATTATCTGATAGAATACAAGATGATTCAAAATTATATAGATATTTAAAGCTTTTCTGCTGTTTTTTTTTTTTTTTTAATTGCAACTGCTTTTCTGCCATGCCTCTCTTCCCTACCCAAAAGTGATGAGTTCTGAACAAGACAAGACTGTCATATTGTAGAGACTTTGATATGTGATACCATGGAATACTGATTGGATAGCCATCCTAGTCACTTACCAATACTGACTAGAAGTTAACTCTTAATTCTAAGCTATCTTAAAATGCATATATATACTTCTTGCATGGAAGAGCAAAACAAATTCAAGTTGTCATACTTGGTAATTTCAGATGCCGCAGTATAGCAAAGGGTGAACATGTTTTCAACCCTTTAATTTTTTAAGATATTTGAAGACCAACTAACTACTCCTTAATATTTATCAATGGATTAAGAAGTTTAAGATTTTGCAGATTTATCAATTTGGGTTTTCGTATTGAGGTTGTCTTGCGGCTTTATAAGTGTCCCTTTATATTTAAATTTGAAAGTTTTAAGCACTGATGTTAATGTGATTGATCAGCATGGGCATATGTAAAATGTCCTTTTCTGGTTGCCTCTCTGTGCTATTGTGTTCAGATACTTATACCATAATTAAACAGTAAGGTATAGATCTTGCTGAGTTCGGCATAGATAGTGCACTTATTTAATCTGTGCCTCTCAAAACTTCAGAATATTAGAATATTACCACAAATAATTTTTGGTGAAACTATTGAGATATTAAAATTTTTGAAATCACTGCTGTTACCTGTTACAGAAAATAGTGTGGGCTTAGTCTAGTCTCTGTGTAACTGGTTACATTTTGATGGTTGTCTATACTCAACTGGATATGTATATGTAAATTAGAAAATACATACCTATCCAGACATAAATGTTAAGTAACCTTTTTTTCTTCCTCCAACTACATAATTTGTAGCTCATCATCTTTCCTTAATCCTTTCCTAACTTGTTGCAGCAGTTTGAATTTCCCAAATATTTATGTTTGGACATAATGGCTCAGAATACATATTTGAACATCATAGTTGTATATATTTTTAAAGTAGAATAAATAATGGAAAGCAACTTGATATACAAGTTTATACTAAAATTTCAACTGTGTGAAGATACATTTTAAGGTATTACTTTGCTAATAATCTACACATTCTTTTTTCTATTAAAGAAACGGTTTGTGGTTCACAGCTTTCATCCAAGCTTGGTGATAATCAACTTTGAAAATACAGTGGACTGAAAAGCAAATTTATTCTTTCAAAAATTTCATTTAAATCTCTGTACTATGCATTTTTGTTTCAGTTTGTAAATGTGTAACATTTGTAGTTAAATAGGACAAAGCAGGCCCTATGACTATTGTTTTCAAAAAATTAAATTAATATATAAATAATTCAGAGGGGTTTTTCATTTACTTTTGAAAAGAAACTTCTTTAACAGGATTGCACCTATCAGTTTCTTGTAGAATAAAAAAAAAAAATCTTTCAACAAACTGACTTCACTTGTTTCTGTCAAGATTTAAATCTTTCTATAGCTCCTTATAAACTTAAAGCCTGGAGTACAGTTCTGTAATGAGAGTGATTATTTATTTGGTATTTTATTAAAATATCTGAGGGACTGTGCAAGAAAGAAGGTGAAGGAGAAATACCACATCTGTACTGCCTAATTGGTAACCTTCTCTTTGCATTCCTTACTGAAAGTTTATGTAGGTGAAAAGCAGTTAAATCATCAATTGCTCTAAAGAGGTCTTAATTTTTAAGTAAATTAACTTTAGGTTGTATAATACCCAGTTGTATCAACGTTTTTCTTAATAATGTAGTCAGAGGGGACAGTCTGGTTCCTGGGCACAATTCTCCAAAAACAACAGGGAAATAACTGTAAATATAGGTTAACATTTATTGAATGCCTACCTTGTGCTAGGTGCTGTGTTGAGTATTTGTATTGACACATTTAATCTTTGCAATGTTTCCATGAAATGTATTATTTCCATTTTACAGATGAGGAAACTGAGGCATAGAGGGGTTAAGAAATCTCATATCACACAGTAAGTGGCACAGTTTGAATATGAACCATAGCAGTCTGGCCCCAGAGCCCTCTTTCTCAAGCACTATGCAATATTGCCTTACAAAAAACCAATTAAGGATAGTTCTCTGAAGGCTTAGCTATCTTGAATTCACTACAGCTCAGTAGCGGTTCAGTGCTTTGGCTTTGAAGTCACAGCCAAGTTCAAGTCATGGTTGTGTGACTTTGGATTTTATTAACTATATATTTCTGTTTTCCATCTGCTGCTAAGGTGATGCCATCTGGTATTATGAGAATGAAATGAGATGTTTATTAAACACTGAGGATCAGTGCCTAGCATACACAAGCATTTAGTAATTATATTTTTTATCATTAGTCTAATTCTGGTCTCTTGATCTTTCTTTAGTTCCTAAAGTCCTTACTATGGCTTCTATTCATGTGACTCTTACATGAACAATACATGACACAAATACAGTGTTTGAATGTCTGTCATGCACATGATGGTCTGCTAGAAGTTTCAAAAATGAATAAGACTGACTGGGCGCAGTGGCTCATGCCTGTAATCCCAGCACTGTTGGAGGTCCAGGTGGGCGGATCACCTGAGGTCAGGCGTTCAAGACCAGCCTGGCCAACATGGTGAAACCCTGTCTACTAAAAATACAAAAAGTAGTGGGGCATGGTGGTGCATGCCTGTAATTCCAGCTACTCGGGAGGCTGAGGCAGGAGAATCATTTGAACCTGGGAGGCAGAGGTTGCAGTGAGCCAAGATTGCACCACTGCAGTCCAGCCTGGGCAACAGAGCGGAACTTGGTCTCAAAAAAAAAAAAAAATGAATAAGATAGTCTGACCTCCAGGAACATAACCTAGATGGTGTAGATAGGATAACTGTATGAGCAACTAATGTTACACAGGTAGTGAAGCAGAGTGGACTCTATAAGGGTCTAAGGTATTTACAGGGTGCTAGAGGAAGAAGAGAATATATAGGTCAAAAGACTTATTTCTTAGGCAGTTTTACGTCATCTCCCCACAGTGGAAGCCCTGGTTATGTGACTATGCCAGTAATTGAGTGGTTTAATCTCCAGTTTAGGGATATGGGTATTAACCAGTCCCTCTTGCTACAGATTAAAAGACATATTCTTTAATTTTGTTAACAATAAAGGTGATGTTTGATCTCCTGAGTAACTTCTCCATCTCGGGAGTTTCCAAATTCTGGAGGAAAATACAAGGATGTTATCCTATTTTCATCATTAAGAATCAGCTTCCTCCTTCCTGAAATGTAGGTACTAAAGTGACACTGGTCTGGCATACGCTTTTTAGTGCTGGATGATTCCTAATGATCACTACTATCTTGAAAAGGCAACAGCATAAGAATTTGATTAATAATTGTTCAAAGAACAAAGTCTACCCAGAATTTCATCATTCTTTTTGGTGTATTTCAGTTATTTTTATAGATACAAAAAAAAATTTATTGTTTAAAGAAATTGGTATTGTACTTTCTATAACAAATTTTTACACTTTTACATTTGTGAAATCTATCATATAGAAGAGAGCATTTAGCGTGTACAATCTAATGAGAAATAAAGTTATAAAACAGATACTCATATATCCAATGCTCAGGTTAAGAAATGTAACATTGCCAATACCTTAGAAAAGCTCCTATGTATCCTTTCCTGGTCAGTTTCCTGAATCACCCCAAGAGAGAGAACCAATATTCTGCTTGTAATGCAAATAATCTTTTCTTTGTATTTTTACCAGTTAAGTATACTAGTTCTCACGCTTTTTAAAACATAATTTCTAAGCCATCATAAACTGATACTTTCATAAATACAAAATCATGTACTTGAATGTATTGGCACTGTCAGATTACTATCAGCATTTCTAAATGTTTATGAATGTTTACTCACTTTATATGCTTACCTCTCCATCAGCCAATGACAGTTGATCAATATGGGATCAATATGGGACCACACTTTGAGTAGTACTGATGTCTGCATTCCTTAAAAATAGTCGAAACAGGTAGAAGTAAACATTAATAAAATTTAATAAATAGAAATGTCACTTTTTTGTGACTTGCTGAACATTTAGTACCATCCATGATGATGCATATGACTATAGTTTTTGTTACTGTGTTTATTATTAATATTACTACTGTTATGTATTTCTTCCGTGAAGGCATTTGGAGCATTCCACCTTTTTTGCTATTTTGAACAAAGCCACTATGAACATCCCTTGTATATATGTCAGGTTGTACGTGTGTATGATCTCTTGAGAATACATCCAGCAGTGGAATTGGTGGGTCATAGGATATGTGTATCTTCAAATTTACTAGGTAATACCTAGCTTTTCCAAAGTAATTATGTCCATCAGTGCTTTCACCAGCAGTATTAAAAGGTTCCGCATTTGGTATTGTTAGACTTTAAAACTTTGGAAAATCTAGGCTTGTAATGGTACCTCATTGTTGCTTAATTTGCATTTCCATGAGGTTATTTTTTTCTACAAATTTATCTAACATTTGGATTTCCCCTTTTTGCAAAATTGCTGTTTAAATCATTTGCCCGTTTTTAACAGTTTTATTGACTTTTTTTGGTTAATAAAATTCCTTCATATACTGAGACTACTTAATCATTTGGTTATAACTATTTCCAATATCTTCTCAGTTATTTACTTTCTGCTCCTAGTGAAATGTATCCATCTTCTTCTCTATTTTTGGTGTTTTTGTGTCTTATTTAAAAAATACTTCCCTCTCCTTAGGTCATGAATATCTTCTGTACTGTGTTCTAAAATATGTGTAGTTTTGTCTTCCACTCAAACTGAATTTTGTTTTGTGGGTGAGGGTAGGTATCCAGGTTCTTTTTTTTCCCCTTGCTTCTTGAAAAGTCATCTTTCTCAATTGGTTGAACATGCCATTTCTGTCATCTATGAAATGTTCATATTTACATGAATCTATTTCTGGGCTCTCTTTTATTCCATTGATCAATTTGCCCATATATCAGTAACACACTGTCTTAATTACTAAAGCTTTTAAAAGTCTTGATATTTGGTAAAATAAGTCTTTTTATACCTTGTTCTTCAAGATTTTGGTTGTGATCATTTCTTTGCACTTTTATACAAATTTTAGAATTTCAACAAAACAAAATTGTTAGGATTTTGATTGGGATTGTATTTTATCTGTGAACAAATTCTTTACAATAGTACATTTTTTGGTGAGTTAATGTTGTCTTTCCATTGTATCTTTGAATAAAGTCTTATAATTTTCTTCATAGAAATACTGTATACATATATTTTGTTAATCTTTCTTGTATCTTTATGTTTTTGATGCTGTCATCATAAATGATATCTTTTAAGTTCTTAATTTTTTGTTGGTTTGTGGGAATACTTTTTAAATTGATTTTTCTATTCAGCAACCTTGCCTACTACTAACTCCATTCTACAAGTCTCAATATCTAGCATTTTAGTTATTCATTAACTGCAAAGTTTTTTTTTCATTATCACTACTACTCTTTGATGCATAGATATTATTTGGAACTATAATTTCCAAACATGAATATTTAAGTTTTCCTTTATTGTTGATTTTTTAACATAATTGAATTGTGATCAGAGGATATATTCTCTATATGATTTAAATTCTTTGAAATGTGTTAATGGTTGCTTTATGGCATAAGTGGCTGGTTTTTATAAATTTTAGGGTGCTTGAAAAGAAAGTTCTGCAGTTATTTATGTTCATTAATCATTTTAGTCGTGTTCATTAATCATTTTTCAAGTCTTCAGTATCCTTAGTGGTGATTTTTTTGTTTTTGATATATGTCTCTCGATTACTAAGATAATTGTGTTAAAATCTAGCTAGCATGATTTTAGATGTGTCCGTGTGATTCTTTCAGTTTCTCTCTTTTTCAATTTTGGGGACATACTGGGATACAAATGTACAGTTGTATTTTCCAGGTTAATTGAAAGAAGCTTTATCATTACAAAATTATCTTTATTTCCACTAATAAATTTTGCCTTAAAATTAATTTTATTTGATATTAATGTAGCTATACGAGCTTTCGTTTGACTATCACTTGTGTAGTATATCATTTTCCACAGTTTTACTTTCAGCCTTTATATATATTTATTTTTTAGAGGTGCCTCTTATTTATATCATATTGCTGTTACTATTACTATGTGTCCTATCTGTTCTGTGTTTCTTTTTCTCTACTTTTTTTTTTGATTGTTGTTGTTGTTGTTGTTACTCCTTTTTTTCCTCTAGCTATTAGATCGGAAGTTGGGTATATTTCTGTTCATGGTTATTCTAGAAATTTCATTATGCATCTCTGACTTACCAAAGCCTAAACTTGCCCAGACTTCTGGGCAGTACAGTAGCCTTAGAACACGTTAACTCCATTTACTGTCCTCCCAGCTTATATACTGTGGTTGTCACATATGTTGTATCTCTTTAAATGTAAGTCATTACTGTTGTTTTATATAGCTAATATTGACTTAGATTTACCCACAAATTTACCACCTTTCTTACTCTCCATTCCTTGCTGTGTCTTTGAGCTTTCATCTGGAGTAATTTTTCTTTTGCCTGAATATACGTTTAGAATTTACTTTAGTGCAGTTCACCTGGTGGCACATTTACTTTGTTCTTGTTTTTTGAAATGTCGTTATTTTGCCTTCTTTTTGAAGGACTTCCCCCTGCCCCCCACTTGACAGAATTCTAAATGGATGGTTATCTGGAAAGGTAAAGATAACTTTCTGTTGTATTCTGACTTCCATTGTTACTGGGAAGAAGTCACCTGTCAGTCTATTGCTCCATTGAGACTAATCCATTTTTTTTCCTCTGGTTGCTTTCAGGATTTTCTCTTTGTAATCATTATTATTATTATTATTATTATTATTATTTTATTTAATTTTTTTGGAGTTTCATTATGTTGTATATAAGGGGATTTTATTGTATTTTCCCACTTGGGCTTTGTTTGGCATCTTGGATCTGTGGGTTGATACGTCAGTTCTGGAAAATTCTCAACCATTGATTTGTTCAAATTTTGTTTAGAATCTTACATCTGTATTCATGAGAGATGTTGGTCTGTGGTTTTCTGTTTTTGTAATGTCTTTTGTCTGATTAGTATGACACTAATGCTGGCTTAATAGAATGATTTCACAAGTATTCCCTCCTCTTGAATTTTTTTGAAGAGTATGTGTAGGATTGGTATTATTTCTTCCTTAAAAGTTTTGGTAGAGCTCACTTTACCATTGAAATCACCTGGACATGAAGTTTTCTTTGTGGGAACATTTTTCACTATACCTTTAATTTCTTTGATAGATGTAGGGCTTTTAAAATAAAATAAAATGTTTTATCTTGACTGAGTTTGTCTTTTAAGGATTTTTTCCATTTCATCTAAATTGTTGAAGTTGCTGGCATAAAGTTGTTCATAATCTTTCCTTAGTAACCTTTTAATAACTGGTATGTCGTGTTACCTCTCTCATTTCTAATATTGGTAATTTGCATCTGGTCTCTTTTTTCTTGACTTACCTGGCTAGAAGTTTATTGATTTTGAAATCTTAGTAAACCATCTTTTGGTTTTATTTCTGGGGGAATAAAGTACCATAATCAAGCTTAGTAATCCTTTTTCTTACCTTCCTCCAGGATTTTGACTAGATGGGATTCTTTGTCTAATGAAGTGACCTAAACCTTCATTTCTACAGAATGGAGCCGTTGATAGGCCTGTCTTGTTGCAGTTTTCCACTGACTAGGACTGTTAGCACTAAGGGGCATTCTGGTGAATTTCCTAGTTTCCAGATATAGCCTTCTTGTTTCCATTGTATAACAGAAACACAGTTTTCCTCTGATAACTGGAATTAGCTATGCTGGCCAGTCCATTGAGCTGCTTTTCTGTTAGTTTAATGGCATGAGGAACCTCAAAAGACCAGGGCCAGTCTCAGCTCCTAAATCATCAAAACGTGATTCTTTTTCCTGAAGGAAGTGTTCTACTCTTAGACTCTGGAATTTCTAAACCCACCAAGCCCAACATTTTGGGAATGGGAAGCAAAAATTATTCATGTAGATTCTTAGGTATGCTATTGAACAGAAACACTCCTTCTACCCTTTGGCTCTGAGACCTGTGCATCCTGGTAGTGGGGAGACAACTCCATATACTGACTGCATATTAAATTAATATACCACATTCTATGGGATAGCACCCTACCTTTTCATGATGTTGCCTGCCAGATACCTCTGTAACTGAGCTCTCATTTTGCCACTCAACCATTCTATCAAGCTAGCTACTTCTAGGAGATAAATCATGTGTTAAAACCATTGAATTCACTTCCATTGCCATAAACTGTGTACCTGGTTGGAAGAAATGTTTTTGGGATTCCTATGCAATGGATAAAACCCTCAGAAATGTGAAGAATATTAGTGCCAGTGGAAACACTGCAGGCAGAGAATGCAAATTCATACCTTGAATGTGAATTATTTTTGTGAAGACAAAGTGCTACCTATTTCTTATGGAAATTGCCCAGTGTAACCATCATGTTACCGGGTTGCCAGCAAGTCTCATTGAGAATAATGCCATATTAGGAACCCAGCCTTGGAAATATAGTCACACTCCACATTGTTGCCAGGTTGGACACTCAGCAATGATAGTAGCCAAATAGTGTAGGTGAGGAGAAGACCATACTATTGAACCTCCATCATTGCTTTGATGGCCGCTTGGTACGTGGGCCCATTAACCAAGCCCTGGATTGGCTGGAGAAAGACTGACATCTACCAGACAATTCATCTTGTTCCCCTTATTACTGAAAATCTTCTCCACCTGATGTATCCTATTAGGCACTTATGTGGGACATGAATATCTTCACATGCCCTCACCACTCCAAGAGGGTTATCTGTAAGCCTCACTGACAGATCTTTTAAAAATTTTCCATTTTGTTCTTTCCAATAACCTAAAAGCTGGATGATCCATTAGACACTGCCTATAAGTCAGTATATTTATCAGTTTGTCATGTCGTCCCCGCCTTTTTTGAATGTGAATAACCAGGTATGTAGCTAGCATTTGCCCACTAGGAAGATTCCCTGTCCCCATTACCATAGATCTGAAATTGTCTCACTTCTTTACATACCTGTCCGTCTCCCAGATTAGACTATAAAATCTCCATGAGAACTAGGACTGTGTCTCCTGTTCACACAATATCCCTAATGCCTAGCACATAGAATGTACTCTAATCATATGTGGCATGAGTGATTGATGCATTTTCTTGAACATTTGGAGAGAAAATGTTAAGCAATGAAACTTGTAACCAGTTTAAGATTTTTTTTTAGTACATGTGACTGTATTATGAAGAACAATGCAAAATTTGGAGCAATTTAAAAAGATGAAACAGTTCAAGTAAATTTGCCCATGATACTAGTGACTTCAGGCTCTTTTATGTATGCAACCTAAGTGATGAATAGGTAAGTATGCGTTTATGGAATCTCATTGGTGGTATTTCAGTGGAAAGATTTGAAAAGCTCTGATTTTGAAGGGTTGCCAGAGAAAGAGGAACAGGCAGAGGAAACTGAAAGAAGAATTTTAACAAGCAGGATGAGCATAAAGGCAAAGTGGGGTTGTCAACATCAAGGAAACAGTATTGGGAGACAATGGTCAATTCTGTCAATCGCCAAAGAGAGACTCCCAGGAAAAATGAGGGCAACAAAAGTATCAATGGATTTAGGAGGCCACTGCTTACCCAAAGAGTTTAGGTAGAATTGTTGGGAGGTGCAGTGGTTGGAGAATCAACTGCATGAATAATGAATTGTGTTGACACGGTACATAATACGGTATTTCTGACTACATTGTGGCATTTCACCAAGTAATTACTACCTGAAGTGCCTACCTTCAGTAAGCCATCCGGTTGTTGGATGGGGAAAGAGGAGGAGGAAATAACTCTTAGCTTTACCTGTACTGTGCTTCTGAGACCCAGGTATGAACCTTCACTCCCAATTTGCTATCCATGTTCTCATCCGATGTTCAGTAACTGGGTTCTCCTTTGGCAGGGAGTAGGTATTGCCTGAGAATTAAAAGGGGAGGGGAGATTTCTGAACTGGAGCTCTTAGGTTATGACTAGGATTGGGTGCCTGAGGAAGCAATGGAGAGCTTTATAAGGCTTCTTATGCTTCATTTACCTAATTGCTTTTTTTTTTCTCTCCTGATATTCAGTGGAGTTCCAATCTGTTCCGTTGTGGAGAACGAACCTGAGAAAAGGGATCTTTCTCAGGGTAGTTTTTGGGGGCAGGGGCGGTTGTGCTGCACACCCTAGTCAGGGGTATGGTTGGCTGCAGTAGTCAAGTGAGACAGCCGCAAAGGGACAGGAAATGTCGAGACTATCTTAGGGAACCAGGAGAGTCCCTGTACCTCTGAAGGGTCTAGGGTTTGGTCTGTAAGGAGCAAACATGGTGGAATTCCTTTCTAGATTTTTCTGGGCCTCGAAGTCTGGTTTTTGGGGTACATGCCAAAAAAGAAAGGGCAGGGAGAGTCCACTAGCCTCGGTGACAGTTCCTCATTGTGGTTTCCCCTCCTCCACCCTTCTTTGCGAGCTCCTTCCTTCTGCCGAGAGTTATCCCGCCACATTAACCCCTGACTCGCAGCTGGACCGCCCCGGCCCGGAGCGCCACATCCCGAGTGGGGCCCGCTGCGGCAACGCAGCAGCCTGGCCGGCCGGGAGTGGCCTTTCGGGAGCGGCAGGGCGGGCGTCAACAGCAGTCAGGCCTGGCGAGAGGCGATCTCCAAGGGCTGAGGCAGCGCGTCTCCAAAAGCGTGGGGTCTCTGCTGCCCGCGACTCAGGCGCGTCCCGACTCCGCAAGCGCGGCGGGGAGCAGGCTGCTGTGGTCTCGAGGACTGGGTTGCGGCCCGCCGTGTAGGGGGCGGCCCCAGCCTCTCGACGCCCGGGGCAAGACGCCCACCGCCTGGGGCGCTCTCTGGGCCAGAAAGGAAGACAGAAGAGCCATGGGCTAACCGTGGCGGCGCTCGCCTGCAGGCAAGTACCGGGCACTCTGGCGGGGGCCGCTGCCGAGGGCGCGGGGTGGGCTGGGGGCCAGGCCGCCAGGGGCGCAGGGTGGACTGGGGGCCAGGCCGCCTGCGCTACCTCCCCAGCCCACCCTACCGGACGGCGCGGGTGCTGGCGCTGCTGTCCCCAGTGGGGGCGGGCGAGCAGGCAGGCCTTTCCGTCTCTTGGGTTACTCTGAAGGGAAAATCCGCACAGCTGTCTGCCTTTTTGTTTCATTTTGACTAGAAAACCCATTTTCGAAAATACACCTCAGAACCATAAGCAAATAGCCCAGAGTCTTAAATGCTCTAAAGGCTCTGGATGAACCCCTGCCAGGCACACTGAACCAGTGCTGGAGGTTTTGGCGTGGGTTTTTCCTACTTGGCTTTTTGTCCAAAGCTAATTTGGATAAAAATAGTTTGACTGGCAGCTGTGAGCTGTTTTTCAGTATATTAGGACCTCACCAGCTTTCCATGGTAGTAAACTTTTTTTTAAAAAAAGAAAGTCTTTTAAAATATTCTCACATTATTTTTTTAATTTATCCTTTTAATTTTGGAAAGCAAGGGTGAGAAAGGCTATATGATCTGGAGGTAAAAATACACCACTGTATAGAGTTGAAGTGTTATCCCCTGAACCCACATTGCACGTCTACAAAGGAGAAGAACTTGTCCTTCTCCAAGTGTTTAGTATTCCTTAGATTAGTGTTTTTCAAACAAGCCTGATGGGAAGACGCGTTTGGGACTTTTGTTTAAAATGCATCCCCCCTACCTCTGAAAGTTTAATTTGGTAAGCTTGATTTCCAGAATCTGGATTTCTATTTTTTTATTATTTAATTTCATTTTATGTTCTGGGATACTTGTGCAGGTTTGTTACATACATAAACGTGTGCCATGGTGGTTTGCTGCACCTATCAGCCCATCAATCCTTACATTTTAATATTTTGAAGTAGTAGGTTGGTTATCAATGGAGTTAAGCCACTCCATTTTATATTTCATTCAAGTCAGAAAATAGATAAGCAGATATAGGATATTGACACCTGCATTTGAAGCAAAGTAAATGTGACATGTACGTCTTACTGTATGGAACTTGAAGTACAAATCATGTTTACACTGTTGAATCATGCACACCTATCTATCTGTTGAGTCATTTGTTCCTTATGATATTCTTAAAATGTATTCATTTAACAAATATCTGCTGTTGAATCTTTTGTCTTTAATCCCCCTAGACCACACATCCCATTCTAGGTCCCACTCCACTACTTTGCTTCTTTTTATAACAAACAAACAAAAATCGTCTTTGAAAGATTTACCTCTAAGTCTCCATTTTCATTTCCCCTGTTTCTTCCTACCCCCTCTCATCTGAGGCTTTTTGTCCCCATTACCCCCTACATGGACCTGACATTGCCAATGGGTGTCTTGTGAAATCCCGTATCTGTGCACAGTTCTTATCTTTCCTGACCCCTCAGTAGCATTTGATCACTCCCTCCTCCTTAATATTCTTTCTTCTTCACTAATGTTCTGCACTAATATTCTTTTTTCTTCACTTGGCTTCCAGGTCACCACATTCTCCTGCATTTCATTCTGCTTCTTTGTGTCTCCAGGCTTCCCCACCACTAAATCTTAGTATGCCACAAAATTCATTTCTTGGCCATATTTTTCTAGCCATACTTTCTCCCAGGACAATTTCTATCCCAAGGCATATTCCTTGGCTATAAATAACATCTATCAGCTAATGACTTCCAAAATTTTATTTCTAGCTTTACTGCTCTTCTGAGCTCCAGATGTGTATGTCCAGCTGGTTACTCAGCATTTCCATTTGGAAGTCTGATAGGCATTTAAATTTAGTATGGACAGACAGAACTACTGATGCCACACTCACCAAGTTCTCCCTCTGTTTCCCCTCAGCTCCCTCCCCTTATCTCAATAAACAGCCTCAGTTACTGCCATTCAAGTAGGCCAGAATTCTAGGAAATTACTCTTGACTTCTCTTTTTAGGTCAGACCCCGCATCCAAGCATCCAGCAAATTCTGTTCACTCTGTCTTGAAACAAAAGATCCAAATCTGCCCACCTCTCCCTCTCTCTGTAAGCTAAGCCACAGTCCTACCTACATGATTGAGAAGTCTCTGCCTCTGCCCTTCCTCCTCTATAGTCTTTTCCAAACAGCAGTGATTTTTGTCATACATACTCAGAACTTTCATTTCCCTTCAAAACCTTCTCATCAGAATCACAAAAAACAGCAACAAAGAAACACAAATAAAACACACACACACACACACAAAAGAAAAAAACAAAAAAAAAAAAACAGACTTACAATGGCTTTAAAGCCCTGTATGATCTAGTCCCTGACTACTTCTCTGAACTCATCTTCTGATTTCCCTCTCACCCACTCCACTGTAGTAACACTGATTGTGCTGCTGTTGCCTTTGCCTGCAGCGGGTCTCTGCTAGACCATTGCACACTGTACTCCCTCACTTCTCTGTTAGCATGCTACCTCAAAGGTTACTGTGCTATTGCAGCAAGATCTGTTTTGCTGCTGGACTTGTGCGGTAGGTTGTTATTAAATACTGAATGCTACTCTGTAGTATTCCATGAAGCTTATGGCACCTTTAAAACATTGTTGGTTGCTTGAGTTCTCTAATATTAAAAATGCACAACCATTTTTCTTTTTAGCCTAATTTTGATAAGATAGACAGTTTGCCTTTAAATTCTGTGTTTTTATAAAATCTCTTCCCGATTTGGAGATTTGCCCTTTAACATCAGTTTTCATTTTTAGATGCAGAAAATGGAAGAAAAATATCCAGTTCACTAAAAGGAATATTTGGTGGGGGCCAGTTACCCCCTTACCCCCACCAGTAGGGGCAATGGGAAATAGGAAGCAATAATCTAACATTTGGAGACTCTTTGAATGGTACCAGCAACAGGTAGTTTAAAGAAGAAAAATAAAGACTCTTGTTCAGAGAAGAATATACAAGTTTCTAAGTTCTGCAGTGACTAAGCCAATATCAGAGTTGTCAAGATTTTATAAGATATTATATACATTCAACTCTTTTTTTTTTTTTTTTTTTTTGAGACAAGTTCTTGCTGTGTTGCCCAGGCAGGCCTTAAACTCATGGGCTCAAGCAATCTTCCCACCTCAACCTTCCAAATAGCTGGGACTAGAGGCACATACCACTGCACCTGGCTCCAGTTCTCTCTTGAGGACTATGTAGAAATGAAAAACAATATTTTCATCTTTATGAAGAGGTGTAGCAACTAAAAGATTGTTTAATTTATAATCCTTATTTCTCATTTTAATCCCTAGGAACTGGTTCTGTTATCAGTAGCACAGGTACTATTGCCCCTTCTTTTACAGGAAAAGAAGAAAATTCCTTCTCATTTTAGAATTAGGATTTAAGATACTTAAATAAATATTTCCAAAATGAGATTAAATAAAATAAGTAGATTTGGAATATGGAACAAAGAGAAGAGTAGGAGGGTTAAGCGGAAGCTAGGAGTGAAGTTATTAATAGCATCAAAACACCTGCCATAAGCTTCTGTCTGTTGGCCAGAGCGCTCATTAATCTGGAGCTTCCTAGCAACTGAGTGAAGAGATAGGGTCCACAAGATGAAAAAGCAGTGCCCAGGTAAAGATCAGATAGAAGCATTTTTTAAACATTGACTTGCTCAAGGACCTGTTTTAGATACTATGAAGATGAATGTTCTGTCTTCTGGTACTTAAGAAGAGTATTGGAGAAGCCCTATTTGGTTTAGAGTTAGCAAACCCAAGCTCTTGGAATATTTGCATATGAATAAAAAACAGATGAAATAGAGCTACACCTGGAGATAGGCTAAACTCATTTGGAATGTACAGATAGAGCTTGTAAGGAAGACACTTACCAAAGGCGTTGGAAAAGATATATATGTATAAGGAAGTTACTATTTAGATGGAAATCAGGTCGACATAATTGACATAATTGTTGACAATTACTGACATAATTGATATTTATAAAAATATAAAGCCTAGAAAATGAATTTTTATTTACTAAAAAACTATTTTTTCAGATTGTATGATCATCGTTTGAAAAAGTGAACATGTATGTGTCTATATACGTACATGTGAAGAACATATGTGAGTTCTTCACATATACATACATGAAAGAATACATATATACACACACATTTATATATTCTTATGCTTATACCATTCACAGAGTATCAATGTTACTTTTTTGGTATTCACTTGGCCCATGAACAACACGGGTTTGTATTATGTGGCTCCCCTCATATGTGGATTTTCTCGAACAAAACATGGATCAAAAATGCAGTATTCCAGGATTCAAAAGCCACACATATGGAGAGGTTACTTTTCGTATAGGCAGGCTGTGCAGGCTGACTGTGAGACTTGAGTATTCTTGGATTTTGGTATATTCAGGGGTCCTGGATCTCCTAGAATCAGTCTTCTCTAACCTTAAGTATACCAAGAGATGACTGTACTGCATTTTGTTTAACAAAGCTGAAATCATATTCTGTATACTATCTTATAGTCAGTTCTTTTTGCTTTAATTACATTTCATTTTCGTGTCATGAAAAGCATTTTCTCATGTCATTAAAATTATAACATTCTAAACATTTGTAATGGTTTAATAGGATTCAGTCATATGAATAATGTGACATAGTTAATATTGTCATTCCCCAGGTTTGGGATATTTTGATTTTTACCTCCAGTGGAATTTTAACTAGCTTATGACGCTATGTACAAGATCTCTTATGATAATAAAATATAGTCATCTAACTCACACTTCAAATTTGCAAGAAAATATCTCCATAGATTTCATGACAAGAGAAAGCTAAGCCAGTTTGAGAAACTGACAAAAAGGTCTGTCAACCTAGATAACAGAGAGAGAGGCTCTCTAAAAGAAAGTAATATTTATTCAGAAATGGGCATTGCAGTGGGAATATGTGTTCCATAGTAAATTGTGTGTACTCAGGGAAGTAAAGGCAGACAAAAATTTTCAAAGTAAAAATGAGGAGGTTTACATACTTGTTTTGAGATATTATTTTTGGCTTGTGGA